GGCAGTTAAATCTCTCTTAAAATGAAGACGCATCTCTTCTCCTAAAATCAATAAATCAACTACCCTAAACCCGTAGGAACTTTAACCACAGTCAAAGAACTCCTCAAATCCTTTAGGGGAACTACAGATACTCTGATTCCACTCCCGTAAGGATATGTAGGCATAAGATGCGACATCTTATCGAGTATACTTAGAAATAAACCCCTAGGTCTTTAAACCTTAAGCAGATAAACACTTAGCAATAAACAAACACAAAACAAGAGGTTCCTGTAGAGTACTACAGAAATTTAGGATGCTAGGACCTTCCCTAAGTTTAACCAACCCCCGAACCTAAAACTCTCTAACCTTTGCATTTGCATTGCATTGTGGGAATTTCGATCTTTATCCATTCCTTTGGACAAATCAAAGTTCGGTTGCAAAATGAATTAAAGATTCAAACTAATTAATAGTTTGGTATCCGATTTTCACCGCGACAGTAAGGGATCTCAATACTTTCTCCATGATTGCTTCTTCAGAAAGAGTTTCTCCACACGCCTTCATCTCATTAGTAATCAGAGTCATTCTGGAGATGTATTCAGAGACTTTCTCATTATTCTTCATGTTGAGATTCTCATATTGCTTTCTCAAGGACTGAAGCTTCACCTTCTTCACTGATGCGTCACCACCATAACATCTCACCAGTGTGTCCCACGCAGCCTTTGTTGTCGTTGAATCTGCAATCTTCTCAAACACATTTACATCCACACATAGATGAATGAAGAACAATGCTTTCTGATCCTTCTTCCTTACTTCCTTCTGCGTGTTTTTTTGTTCATCTGTCACATCTGCTGCTACCGGAACATAACCATCAGTGACAAGATCTAGAACATCTTGAGCACCGAACAGTACACGCATTTGGATCATCCAACGATTCCAGTTTTTACCGTCAAATACTGGAAGTTTGGTGTTCATGTTGCCGTTTCCGTTCATCTTCTACCTTGCACAGTACACTCAAATTTCTCACACAGTGTTTCCCAACCCACAGAATTAAAATTCTGATCAGATTTTGTTCAAGATTCAACACGAATCTAAGAAACAAAATCAAACACACAAGGCCTCACATTCACTCGTGTTTCCCAATGAATCTGAACCGGAGCTCTAGATGCCAATTGTTGATGCAAAGGTGAATAAATGATGAACAGAGGAAATATTCTATTAAAGATAATGACGGCTACGCAACTCACTTAAAACATTACAATTATTGCAACCCTATTTATAAGTTAAAACTAGGGTTACTAGAATACGATAAAATACTAAAATACCCTCTAACTAACTTAGGGGTTAAGTAATAGTACAACTAAATATGAATTACTTCTAATACTTGCATGCAAATAAATTTAATTTTGATATACTATTAGTGCAATTATATATATTGTTATGTCTTAAAAAGTTGAGGTGAATAATTTTTTACATGACTTTCAATATTTGTGCATGATATTGTAACACCTTAAAAAATATGTCTAGAATAACATTTAAGGTTTTAATAACTAGCACAAGATACATTAATAGTGTAAAGACTAAATGAAACACAAATCTAATACATGATCTTATCAATAAATCATAAGTAAATAAATATAAGTCATAAATGTAGATCTATGTTCATGCGTGTCTTGTCAAAGTGATCTAAGGTGGTACAAAATGTTGATAGCATAGTTGAAACCAAGTGACTGATTGTTTAGTTTTGATGATGATAACACCATATATCAAATGATATCTAGTGAAGTATTTATCTATTAAAGATATCTTAAGAAGTCGAAGATGGTCAAGACATTTAGAAGATGCTCTTGAAAATCAAGTCATCTCTTTGAAGTCTATGTTATGGTCAAACGACATTCAAGTCACACACACATGCACCCACATACACACACATGCACCAACACATACACACGAACGCATTCATGCACGCGCACGCGCACCCACACACACACACACATGCACACACACACATACAACACAATCTCTCTTTTGATTTGTGAAGATCAACTAGTAAAATTTTCTCAATGGTTGCTGAGCTCAGTCTAGTGTAAAAGTTACATTGGTTCGAGATTAGCCTGTGTAAAATCTAATCTTGGTTTATGAGTTTAGTCTGGTGTAAAAACTTAGTTGGTTCGAGATTAGCCCATGTAAAATCTTGTCTCGGTTTGGAGGTCAGCTCGTGTAAAACCTCAAATCGGTTCTGAGGATAGCCAACATAAAACTCAATCTTAGTTCGAAGGATAGCTAGTGTATAACACCATTTTCGTTCGAGATTAGCCTGTGCAAAATCTCTGTTTAATTCAAAGGATATACTTGATTCGTTGTTTGGTTGAAAGTTAGCCTTTGAAATTCATATCCTTATAAAAGAAGTTTCGAGGGTATATCTTTTTGAAAGCTCTCAAGATAGTGGATACTCTCAAGAAGAATTCTTAGGGACAAAAGTAGGTCAAGTTATTAGGTCGAACATGTATAAATCTTTGGTGTCTTTCTCTCTACCCTATCTCCTTTACTTTTTTGTTATTTTCTTTCTCCTGGTTTTCCATCTATCTCTTTTATGTTGATCGTTTACTTACTTGTCTTAAAATATTTTTAAACTCTGATTTTTCAAATGATTTTTTCAACCAACGTTTTTCAAACCTTCATAATTCATCCTCTCTAATGTATAGAGTCACATGTCTAACAATAAACTCCGTATTCAATTATTATCCACATATGATCCTTGCTTATTTGTAAATAAATAAATTGTGTGGGATGAGATAATAGTCTTGTTGGATTTTTCAAATATGACCTCGAATTGCCTAACTACCCATTTGTCTAGTCTTACATCATTTAAATAGAATCTTATCATTATTACAATATGAAATTTAATTTAAAACATAAATATGCATTAATTTTAACATCTCAATTTACTTGATACTCAAGTTTTGTTTAGATTGAATCTAAGAGGACATTCGAGTTTACCGGTGTTTTTGGTAAACAATTACGAATTTGAAAGTCTGTGAGATTAACTCGAAAAATTTCCAAAGTAATTTGCGCAAATAACTTGGTTAAACACACGTGCGTGTGAATTGAATGCAGGCGTCACACGAACGATAACGACATAGAAAAAGACTTTAAATTAAGTCAGGTTGTTGTCGCCAGCTGGCGACTCTTCTGTCCTTGTCGGTCCCTCTTTGCAGTGCGAAAAGGGGCCGACAGTTGTGATAAATGATAAGGTAAAATATATTAAACAAAACAAAGGTAAATGTACATGTTCCGTTTAAAGAAGCAAAAAGACTAATAAAAATAGTGGACGCAAACGCATACATGTTTCTCACTCAACTATTTTACTCTTTGACTCGAGTATTCCAGTGGTATAGAGAGTATGTATGAAATTTTGCAACCCCTAATCTCATGTGTGAGTCTGCTATTTATTCGATTTACAAAGTAACTGGCGGCGACGATTATGATCATTGTGGGACTACTGCATTTACTCCACGTTCAATCTTCAAGTTTTCACTAGTGTGCTTATGTGTCTTCTACGACACTCTCTGTTCAAAACTCACGTTGAATTGTAATTGCTTCCCACTTCTTCACGAACACTTGTGCTCTTTAAAGACACTTCATTAATGTTTTCTCACAAGAAATGTCTTTTCATTGGCATTTTTTGTTGACTTTCTAGTAACTGAAAAATCCAAGTGTAACAATCATGCAGTACTTATATATGTGGGATTTATCTACACTGAATATAACCTATATAGGTTTATCCCAAAGCACCCCTATTAAAAAAAACATATTATATGTCCTAATGTACCATAAACAACCAATTATGCTTTAACTTCAAACTAATGAATCATAAAACAAACAAAAAATGAAAATAAAAAACTCGTCGCAAGTGAGATTTCGACAATTTTCGATTGAATGGAGTGGAATATAGGTTGATAGATCTCTCAGGGTTAAATGCAATGTAAAGAAAGTAGTGAGAAAACTTGAAAAATGATGGAAATGAAATTTGCTCACAAATTTTGTTTAGGATTTTGAGTAAAATTTTCTAAATGAAAAAAGAAGAGGGAAGATATGGTGCATTACGTGTTTAGGGTTTTGATGAAGAATGAAAAAAGGGAAGATATGATGCGTTACATAAATCAAACGTGTTTTGATGAAGAAGGAAACGGGAAGATATGATGTGTTACATAAATCAAACTGAACTTAATCTCGATAAAAAAAATACGAACATCTAATTCAAAGACTTAACTTTGGTTAATTTTGGTGCATTCGGAAGTTAAGTTCCAAATTTTAAAAGCATTATGGATTTTTTACTAGGGTGTATGGGCAACACTAAAGGTGCAAAGTGTAATGCTCTTAAACATTTTGGGTCAGAATATGGTCTGTTTGTCTGTTTTTCCTGCTGGTGAACACCACCTTTGTACAATCGAAAACCCCTCTCTTCCTTTTAATGTTTTTCTAGGAATTCCCGATCTGTTTCAGGAAAATTATATAACCTATAAAGCTTTTCACCGAAGGTTCACACCCAATTCAAACACAACCGATTTGAGGAGGGAATCAATAGCCAACGGCTTGTTAAGGGATAGTGATTTCAATATTATGCCGAAATTTCAAAGCAGTTTTTTTCCTATCACATAAGCAATTTTAACAACGCAGTCCAAACATTGTAAGACTTCAATAATCGCATAATTTATTTGGTCATAAAAAAGAATTTGACAAACATTTTCTTACAAATTTGTCACATCTTTTAGCATGTCCCAAATTTATCCTGATTTCATCTTTGATTGTAGAAATTGATTATATTCATAAACAAGAACTCTTAGAATAACCATTTGTTCAGAGAATAGGCATGTAATTAACATGATATTGCCTATTCATTCCATAGCAAGCCATTCAAGATCTGATATTCATGCCAACAATTATTTAAAATAAGACTCAGAATTTTGGAAACAGATATTTCATTATTTTCATACACCAGTTTTTGCAGATACTTGAATTCTCTACTTTCCTTTCCCTTTACCCTTTCCTGGACCTTTCTTGGCATCAAGCTTGGCTTGCACACGAGCTGCAGCTGCCGCTTTTTGTTCTTCTCTCTTTTTCTTATCCTCCTCTTTCGCAGCAGCAGCAATCTCTCTCTGCTTTTTCAGCTCCCTGTGTTTTATTTCAAGTCACAGCATACACATCACATTGCAATATATCCCAATCAAATAAAAATAACAGTTTTTATATATAATGATGTTTACGTTAGTTGAGTCGCGAGAGTTCACTAAGGCTAGGCAAAGCACCAAGGCTTTAAAGAGCATTTACAAAGCCAAACCACACCAAAAAATAAAACTGTCATGGGCAGTTCACAAACTTCACAAAACATTCGGTTGATGTCTTTTCCTTTCGGTTTTGGGTTTTTGTGAACATTCTTAATATTTGATTTGGTTTGGTTTTTATTTTTTTTTTAAAGAATCCTAATATCAATTAATAATAGCAATCTGATAGAGTTCGGTTCAAAAAGATAAAGGTAATTAGTCTGAAAACAAAGAATCAATGCACCAAACCTTTATACCAGTTTGGTTTTGGAAGAACCATTAACAGTTCAGCTCAATTTTACCGAATTGTTATAACGGTTCAGTTTGGTTAGATTTTCCTTCTCGAACCAAAACCATGAAAGGTCCTACTTATACATAAATACTAACATATTATACCTACCAATGAGATTCTCAAATCGACATCATGATTCAAAACCACGTCTTTTTAAAATATAAGTAGAATCCTTACTTACCAGCTACACCAATTTTCATTGGCTAACAAAAATAACAGCTCGCCTCTACTTTTGGAGATGATAAGAAAAAACAATAGTTAGCATAAATGTGTTAAGACTTACTCTAGCCTTGCCCTCTCTTCTGAAACACTTCCAGTAGTTGAGCCCTTCCGTGGCCTACACGCAACTAGCTCAACTTCAAAAACAAGTGTTGCACTGCAAGGTAATCCAAAAGAAAATAAAAAAATTAGAGACTTTCATTCACAGGTAGATGCAATTCAACTTTTTGTGAATACTACTAAGGAAAACATAATAGGAAGTTAATGAAGCTCCAAGGATTTACTGCATAAATTCGCCTGAACTTATTAGTATATCTATCTTGATATTTTCTAGACTAAAGATTTTGAAACTAAATGGTCTTTTTGGCATTTTCTTAATTTTGTTCTAACCAAAACTATTGTATGCATGAAATGAGATAAGTACTCTGGAGGGATATCCGGAGGAGATCCTGCGCTACCATATGCATAATCCGGCTTGCATGTTATTTTTGCAACTTCTCCGACCTGTTGAAACCAGCCAAAAAATGAGAACAAAACCTTTTTATACATTAAAACAGGTTATTAAAAGCATACTCTATTTGACCTTCATGGTTTTGACTGCAATGTCCCAAGCCTTGATAACACTACCCTTTCCAAGTTCAAAGGAGAATATAGTGTTGTCTTCATGTGTAGTGTCAAAGACTTCACCGGTATCAGCGAGCGTGCCTTCATAGTGAACTGATCGGAGAAACAATAACACAGTGAGAAGAAATAATAAAATCATGTGTGCAGTGCTTCAAAATTATTGGTCTCATTAAGCATAAATCAAGAACAAATCATGTAATTAAAAAGTAATATAAAACCTGATCCTAAGAGATATATACTATAAGATGCTCTAAAAATATATAAAAGATATTTTATAACATTCTAACAATTACTGTACTAGGTTTGAACTCTAAAGTATTCGCATTACAGACAAGCATACCATCAACAACAGGAAAATCCTCAGTTGGAGCTACAGCATCTGACTTGCTCTTCCTCACTATGGTTTTGATGACTCCTCCGTCCCCAGACAAATCAATTGCGTCTCCCATCGTTTACACACTATAAAACAATACACGTGAAAATAACAAAGATAAAGCATGAGTTATTTTTCCTTCCCAAACATTGCATTCAATGTTCTAAGACTCAAAAGTCGTTGAGAAGTGTAAGCTCCTAACATCTCCAGACTTTGACTCATAAACAAGAATTTGCTTAATACAAAAAGAATGGTTAAGCCATTTATCAAAGAACCTAATCAGAACTTAATAGTATATGTATAGCATAAATACAACATTATTAGTAATAAAGCAAACCACAATGAAGTTTAAAAGAAATCAATAAAATAAATTAAGATGGTCAGGCCAGGCCAGGCCAGACCAAACCAGAATACAGTGTCAAAACTCAAAATTGATGACCAAATTCACAAATCATCATCATACAAAACGAGCCTAACAAGTCCAAACAAAGGGCACTGAACTACTGTCATTTTAGATATGTGAAAGAGAAAATAATAATCAGGTTGTAGACTCATTCAAACAACTTCGCACTAGCAATTATCCGCAATACCTCTACTCAATTTCACTCAGAAACATTCGTAAGCATGCTAAATAGACTTCAATACTAAAATTGATAAACGCAGTAATTGTACGAGTCAGTTCAATTTCAACAACCATAGTTACATTATATCAAAACCTAAATAGAATTTTCCTTCAAGAAGTGCATGCAAAGAAAAAAAACCACAAAAATGGATTATAGCGGTCACTGTTTGAAACCCTAACACTGAATCAAAATCTGGAGAAATGAAAAAAGGAATAAAGAGTGAACTATAGCGAGAGTGATAAACCTTTTTTTCTCAGCTGACGGATGAAGAAGCTTCTGGAACGAATTGGGGTGATAGGGTAACGGAGTTGATAAACAGCGACGAATTTTGAAGAAGAGGAGTGGCCATAGGCGTTGGATGAAACTGATTCTCAGAGTGGGAGATTGGCCTTAATGAAATAGAACGCTAGTTGATACTTCACGCGCAGTATCTACACGTGTAATATACGCTCCACGCTTGGAAGTGTGAAGAATAAGGCTTATATGGGTTTTGCTTGAGTTGAATTTAGCCAAAACTAAAGCCCAACTTATATTGGGTATATCGATTGGAAATTTCTTACCTCATCTTATCGGTGAAAAAAATTCTATCAAAAATTCAAAAAGTTTCTTAAATTCCAGAGATGCATCTTGAGACGTATCTTGTTTTAAGTCAAAACGTTAAGTGATTCGGAGATGCATCTTCGAAATATTTTAACACATACCTCATTCATCCCTCTCTGAAAGTCTCATTTTACATGTTTATTATTCCGAAGATACATCTCTGTTGTGGATCTACGGAGATGCATATATGTACATTATCAGAACAGTGCAAGTTATGTTATTTTTATAGTTTTTTCAGATGAAAATGATTATTTATAAATGTTAAGGACCTTGTAATGCGAAGAGCATTAAACCATATAATCGATATGCAAAAAATGACCTATAAAAATTCATTGGTCAGAAAGTGACATATAGAAATGAAGTTAAAATACACAATAAAGTAGAATGAAGTGAAAATAAAATATAATCCATCATGAATCCAAAGTACAACTATTATATACTACTATGTATGCTGGACTACAACTCATTAGCCTCCTCGCGCTCCTCGATGTTTACTATCCCTCGTCCTCTTATGTTGTCTATGGTACATCAGTGTCTCATGTGCCTCCGTCATAATGGCATCTAGGACATGCCTTACCTCAGACCCATCAGAGAAGATACCTCTATCAATGTCTGCACGCACAATCTCCATTATGCAAAGAAATATATGGAATACATCATGAGCATTATATAATTATGCATGCTCGTCCTCTAGTATCTCTTGATGAGTTAGCCTTTGTGGATCTCCTAGAGCAGCCTGTACCATATACAGATGTGAAGAACCACCTGATGTACCCGTCGACATAGCTCAAGTCGCTCTCAGCTAAGGTACTTTATGCCTTCTGTACCAGATGATTAAGATAATCATCAAATATGTCATTTATCTCTCTACGTTCGTAGTAGGAGGAGGAGCAGAGACAACAGGATGCCTTGGAATAATTTAAGTGTAGCTGAATTGTCGTATGACGCGCTCAGGCAGATGAGGAAATGTGAGACGTGAGTTGCAAGCCAACCATCCCGAGTATAACACTATGTCATCAAATGGTCGCGTCTCACATTGATCGACGTAGTTGTTGAAGTGCATATCCTCAAAAACCAAGCGGTCAAGATACACTATAAATGGATCTATCGCCTGGTTCCCTTTGAGTAGGGAAAATGTAGAAGCACGCTGCATATCCTCAGTATAAGTCGGTACGTACGACCAGCCTGAGATGTGTGGAAAGTGTTGAAGGATCCATGCCTGAAAAATGTTGGAACACATGTATCATTAGTAAGGGCGTTGCAAAAATGCATTGAAAATGACACATAAATATTAAAAGAACAATGAATATTATTGTCAGTAGTGTGATGTTGCATGTGACCTGCTTCGTCTTCCACCTACAGTCCTCTGATAACTTCGAGTTCAAGTAGACTAAATAAGCGGCCCCCAGTTGTACTCATGGATCCGGTCGAAGTACTGTAGGTAGACGACATCTGTATAAGTGGCACTTTTGTCCATAAAAATTGCACTGCCAACCAAATATAACATGTATGCTCTCATATCATATGTTCTATGGAGCCTCACATATTTGCCATCACCTCTAGTCTGCTCAGTTGTAAGGAGCTTGTCTGTATATACCTTTTTCAGAAATTCAAACCTAGTATGATCCCCTTTAGTTTTTTCAAACTCCCTCATGGCATCCTCTGGGTGAACTTTCAAATATCCTACTATCATCTTGAGTGCCTCGTCTTTGCTAATCGTCTCATGATCTAGAAGTTTCCCCCTGATCGGAAGATGCATCAAACATGACACGTCATTAATTGTGATAAACATCTCACCGGGTGGTAGATGAAATTACGAGGTATCAGTGTACCATCTTTCCACGAATGCATTAAGCATCTCATTGTTGACTGTAATATAACAAGTCATGCACAAATCCTTCATCTCGGATAGGGACAATGCAACTTGAAACCATTCCTCATTCGACTGAGGCAAGCCAATAATCTTACGTGCATGGTTAATAAACTTCAGCCGATCACGGTCCTGCATAAAAATAAATTAATGTCAGTCATTTGTAATATAATAATAAATGTAACTTAAAAATAAAGAACCAACTAATTTTACCTCTCTGTCTCAGATATGTCTGACATTATGATCTAGGTATAAAAGCATTAGTGACAACTCTACATGGCATTCTTCAAATGTATGAGGTGGCACTGGCTCATCATCCTCAACGGCCTCATTAGCCAGAGGTGACATTGGCTCATCAACATGAGGTCCCTCTGGTACCTGGGGTGGCACTTGTAATACCCCAAATTCAATTAATTTTTTCAAATTGAATTATTTAAAATTTTTATATAATTATTTCGTGTTTGGTGTATCTTTAAATAAAATCATTTGATTATGTGTGTTGTTGGGATGTAATGGAGATGGTACATTGTGGAGAAAATGTAGTGGCTTGGTAGAATAATTTAGAAAATAATTAGAATAATTGACATTTTAATTATTAATAGAAATATATTGAGAAAATAGGTAAAAATAAGGAATTGAGTCAATTATATAATTTGAGCGAAATATGTGGCAAGAGGAGAGAAGTTGGGGATAAATTGGGCAAAAATTATAATTTTGAGAAATAATTAGAATAATATATATTATAAAAGTTGGGAGAAAATTATGTCAGGGAGAATTTTTGTTAGTACATGAAAACAATGATGCAAGAAGAACAAGGACATTTGGAAGGAGAAATAGGCTTTGATGGGATAACCAATAGGAGCTGCTTGTTTTGCCATTGTTGTTGGAAATCTAAGGTAAGGGGGAGAAAGAGTTATCAATATGTGTGTATTGCATGATGGGGTAGAGGAGAGGGGTCTTTGCTCTCATTAGGGTTCCATGATTTGCTTTAATGAATTGTTCTTGTGTTAGAAATCTGGAATTTGTTGATTGATTATGTGTGCACATGTGTTTCTATGACTAAATTTATGTTTAAATTATCATGAATATGCATGTATAAAATTTTGTTATTGATGAATATTTGAATGCTTGAGTTATGTTCATGATTGATGATGAAATTGTTGTTGAAATTGTTAATGAATTAATATGCATCATGATTAATTGGTGAATATGTTAGTCTGGTGGAAATTATCATGTCCTATGTAATATAATTGATGTATGAATTACCCTGAGCGTTTGCCTTTTTACGGAATCGAAATTGGAGGTTCAGAAGGCCTTCAATGGTAAAAAAAAACTAGTAGAAAAATGCTACAAGATGATTTGATTCAAATCAGAGGTTTACACTGGGATTTTGATTCGAATCATAGCCTTCTGAGTAGCCCCTTACTTGTTTGATTCGAATCAGATTTTACATTTTATTCGAATTAGAAAGGAAAATTTAGCCAAAATATTATTTTTAACATAACTTTAGTTCCGTAGGTCCAAATGAGACGTCGTTTGAAGCATTAGAAAGCTAACGCGTATATCTACCTCATGGTAGTTCTTGGTGAAAAATTGAGTTATATTCATGTGTCTACTATAGGTATGTATGTGATGACTTGTGTGATTGATTAGCGAATCGTGGTGTTTACCTAATGACGTGTTGATGTTATATCAAATTAACATGGTTGGATGCTTGTGAATATGCATTTGTTAAGTTGATGTTGTTTGTTGATTGTCGTAACATTGATTGATTATTGAAAATTAAGGAAGAAAATAAAATCAAAGGACTTGTACTCAATCTCTAGATACCTCAGCTAGTTAGGTTTGAGCCTAAAAGAATTTTCATTGTTTGAAATTTCTTTCATTGAGTGTATTCGTGAAATTGCTATTTTATAGAGTTTGAACTATTTCTAATTTAGTTTATTGGTTTGATAAACACACTGAGACAAATGTTTGCGATAA